TCAAAATTTCTGTAATAAAAATACATATTGTTATTGGTCCCATATAACATTATAATTTTCGAACTGCAAATTTTTGACATGGATCAAACTTTTCTAATAAGTCTATATATGTATATGTGAGTTTTATTTTAAATGTAGTTTAAAAAATAACCCAAAATGTTCAGAAATTAGCTAAACATTTTGTTTAAAACAATAATTACTGTCCGTGTTGCTGAAACTGCCCTGCATCTGATGCAAAAGATCAAATGCAAAAATCTCCTGTGGATTTTTATTAAACTTGGGTTTTTTATGAATCTATGGTTCACAGTGAGTGGTCTGTACCTGAAGTTATCCTCACAAGGTAAAAATATGCATGAATATATAAGGAAATTAAACTCTCAGCTTCTGGGTGCAGCAGTGTTGTCATTCTTAAAGAAAGGAGTTGGAATTTGTTTGTATTCTCGTTCAATAACTCTTTCAAATGAGCAGAGCTCCGATTGCTGAGTAAATTTACAGCTGAGTGCAACTTGAGAATGTGTTGACATACATCAAGATGTTGCTTGTGTGTGGGAAGGCAGTGGAAACAAAGACTGTGGGTGTTTTGATCCATGTCAAATGCTGCCATTCTTATATTATTCTATAAAGCAGTTGTAAAAGCACAGTCAGCCACTGAAAGGACTTTGAGCTTCGAGTTTTGCTCCATGAATTTTGTCTGACTTTATCTTTTAAATATTGCAGCAAGCAACTACCAACTAAGAAACTTTATCCATTTTAATTAAACATGTAACACTTAAAGTTGTGTCTTTATTTGTGTGATTCCAAGCCACCGTAAGACGGCTGTGATAGAAACTCCTATCTGGAGACATCTAAGGAGAATTAGAAAGGAATCGGGTGGGAGACATTTTGTAAAAGGTGATCCACCCATTAACACTTACCATGTCAGTCAACCATCTCTTGTTCTCGCTCTCTTGTTTTAAGTCTCCTCTTAAAAAGAACTCAGAAAGAAACAATTATCAATGTGACAATATGTTTCTGCAGCACATGTGCAGAAAAGGTTCTGACTCACAAAGAGAAGCCGGCTCCAGTTGTGAAGCTGCATTTCACTGCTGTTTGGTTTAATGAGTTTGTCTCATAGATTTAAACAACAAATCATTTGACGTTCTGCCATAGGTCAGTGTTTGTCTGTTATCTTGAGCAGCCATAATCACACTGTATGTGTTTATGTTTAGACCATTCATCACACACACCTTCACTTTGTTCCCAGCAGTTATCTCACCATCTATCTATATGAGATATTATAAATGCACCTTGCCGAGTCATGGCACTTCAGTGATGGGATGCGACAACGCTGACCGAACACTGACCTCCCCACCTGACCTTAGCGTTTGTGTGCAGGATTTGCAGAAGCACGGGCTAACAGTACACAGGGTAAAAAAAGATAGTTGTGCGTGTTTGAAAGCAGACAGATGGAGAAATGATAAAAAAAAAAATAAAAAAACTTCTGGCTGCTCTACATCTGCTGAGAAAATCTTCTAGCCCTCCCTCTGTTTATCCGTCTTTTTCATCTCTGCCGAACATTGACTTCTACAACAGCGGCTGCGTCTGCATTCAGAGCAGAGGAAATTACATTTAACTTATCAGACGCGTGCACACATATATGTACAGCCTTACACTACGTAGCGCCGGCTTTTTCTTTCTTCCACTGTACTCAAGCCCAGCTTTATTTCTGTGCAGCTTACAATGACTCAAAGATGGTATCATCAGAGACAGACCAGCTTGACTAAATGGGAGCGGCAAATTGACTGTAGTATTAGCAGAGAGGGGCCTCCATCAGGTCCTCTGATAGGATCCCATTAAGGAAAGCTTGCAGATGAATATGATTAGCTTTTCATTCCCCCTAATGGAAACATCTTCTGAAAAGGGGAGAAGATAAAATGTTGTGTAGTGATAGGACCTTTTTCCCAGTGATGGGATTGGTATATCCTAATTTGGGTGGAAAGGCCATTAAAGACGTTGGAAGGGGGAATAAATGTTCTCTGTAAATATGCTCTCAGTTATGGTTGTGGACCGAAGTGTCTCTCTGTGTGTGGGCAGGGCTTTTGCTTTGTTGTTGCAAAAATGAAAACACCCTCCACTCAAACAGCCATATACTGGGCTTGTTTTTATGCTGGAAACTGTGACTAATGAGCATGAGGTTTCATCTCCCCTACCAAAATAAACCAAATGGGGTTTTGTATGAGTTTGTGTGTGTGTTGTTTTTCTTTCTTTCTTTTTTTTTTTTTTTGTTATTTGTTTTTTTATTCATGCATGTATGTGTGGCTGTCCTGGGTTTTTACTTTCTCTAACAAACAGCAAGAGCAGTGCCTCATTAAATTATAAATCAGCACAACTTCTAAAGCAGATTATTGTTATGTTTTGGAAAGCATCTTTAGTGCTTTTTTGCCAAGTACTCAAACAATCAGCTTTTGCACTAGATGCTTTGTGTACCAGCTTAATCTTTTGTAATTTAGTTGCAAGTTTGAGAACTAAAAAGACTTCTGAAGTATTGACATGTATATTTTTTTTAAAACCTGGTTATTTTTAGGTTTTGTTGCAGAAGGTGTGATGCTTTTGAAAGACTCACAGCTTCTTGTGCACAAGTATTATCTTGCAGCAGTAACCAGCTGATTTAGTAGATCTGGACTCTGCTAAATCTTTAGACACCTATAATGGGTCTGATGCATCCAACCACAGCCAACTACCTCTCTGTACTTTGCTGGTAGTGTTTCTGTGAATGTGTCTGTAAATGGTAATAGTGTTGATAAGACTTCTAAGAAAACATTTGTCCACAAAAGAATTACATAATTTCACAAGAAGATGGTAAGGCAAGTTCATTTTAACCTATTTTACATCCAATATAAAAGTTTTTTTTTTTTTTTTCAAGTTACAAGGTGAAAACAATATTCAAAAAATTAAGATATATTACATCATTTACTACTACTCCTTAAAAAGGTTTGGCTTTTATGTTTTAGCTAATTATATCAAACGAAAGGCGCTATGCTAAAAAAAAAAAAATTGCACTTTTACATAGAGCTGCATTGTGATATATCCGCATTTTTCTCACTCTTTTTTCATTCTGTCTCTGACCTTTAGCATGTTAGGTTTTATTATCTGTGTGGGTATGTACTGTAGGGACAATCCATCCAACAGGAGTAATTAGACATGGGCCACATCAGATCCAATGCTGGTTCTGAATTCTGATATTCTGTTGTTGTTGTTATTGCAGTAATGATGTCAGTGATGACACAAAGTCCAATTTCAGCAGCCCAGCAAAATCTACCAGATCTCCTCAAATCCTGTCTCTGAACTGCGTAAGAGCTCTGTGATCAGGAAGGATCCATCTTACCTCATGCATCATTCATTCTAGCTGCTCCCATCTGACAGAACGTGTACGGCTCTTTTCTCCAGGAAAGACAACCACAAGAAATTATGCAATATCTGCTTTAAAGTCTCTGTGTAATTATGTGAGAATGCTTGTTGGTGAAGATCACCTGTTGGGAGAGAAAATACATGTTTTTCTATTCTGTCCTATTAAAACTAAAGGTGATCCAACAAAATATTAGATTGTTACCCTTTTTTGCCCAATCATTGCATATATGTGTCTCCATACTTACATAATATAATGCAAACCCACTTGAGCTATATGAATTAATAAACACCCCTTTAAGTACCGTTTTCCTTCTTATGCACATGTGCAAAACTCTTTACTGTGTATAATTTCCTTGACAAACCCATAATCTTTGTGTGGCACACTGAGTTCAGTTTTGACAACATGACGTCTACATCAACTTACTGTAATCTCTGTGTTACAGGACTTGTCTGTCATGTACTCTGTGGCTCAGTGGAAAACGGTATCACTCGGTTTTCCCTGTTTCTGACACTCTGCGTTCACTTCTGCCACAGCTAATGTGAAAAGACACCATGGAGCCAGACTCATGTGCAACAAGCTGCTTCTGTCTTCCTCGCTTTGCCTCTGCGACTTTTACTTTCTGCTCGTCTCGAAAGCCAAAGTGTTTCAGTGACTCATTGTCTCAGTGGTTTAGTGTGTTTAAAAAAAAAAAAACTGGCTTTTGAATGTGTCAACATGTGCTTAACATGTGTTTGCCGCAGGTGTTCTGATACTGACATCATTCAAAAAGCGATATAAAATGAAGTCATTTGCAGCTCTTATTTTTTTTCCAACTGAATAACAACATCTTACAGTTCCCTTTAAAAGGAAACATTTGTCTTTTTGACATCAAGTCTTTACATATTTACTGCCCTGTTTGTTAGTGCTCCATTTGTTTGCTTATTTGTAACTATCTTAAGTTTAGTCCAGTCCATTCAGTTGACCTTCTGCCTCTGAGAAAAAAAAGAAAAGTTTTTTTATTCATGAATAAAAAATGAGCACTGTTAAGAATACGTTTTTTTATTATTATTCTTCAACTTTACTGGTGCTATCTTAGCTTTTGGATTTCTCCTCTTTTGTCTTCTCCACTGTCATGCCAGCACCCTGAGCATCTCCCCTGGGGAAATGAAAGATTGTAAGATATGTTTCATAATTGAGTTGTCTCTTTTTGAGCATGGGCAAAAACAGAAAATTGCTTTTGACTTGCAAATATTTTCGAAATAATTGGAATAAATGTCTTTTGGGAAATGTGCCTGGCATTCACAGTGTCCTCGTCCTTCTCTGTAAAGGTTAATAGTATCAGATCTCAGTGAGTGAGTCAGTTGACATAACTGTGTCATTTGGTGATGGAAAAGGTTTGGTTCCAGTCGCCTTTTTAAGATAAGAGAGATGCAGTCAACAGGTTGGCTTTTATTCTTGTGAGAATTGATGCATGCGGCACAAGCAGCTAAAAAGATGAACGTCAGATGTAAGGAGAGTGACTTTGCAGAAATATTTCAATGATTCTTTTAGCGGGGTTAGCTATGCATATCTCCATTGCAAGATTTTTGCTAAATTTATTTATTTATTTTCTCCCCTCCCCTGTGTCTCACAGATATGGCGACATGGTCCCAAAGACGATTGCAGGAAAGATCTTCGGCTCGATCTGCTCTCTGAGTGGGGTGCTGGTAATTGCCCTTCCTGTTCCTGTCATCGTGTCCAACTTTAGCCGCATCTATCACCAGAATCAGAGAGCAGACAAGCGGAGGGCGCAGAAGGTTCAGGTGAACAAAGTTTTATTTCTCTTCAGACGGGCCTCAGAGGTTTGGGCCTACAGTCTTCCAGGCCAGTAGGGGGCTCTGACAGTTTTATACATCAAACATAGAAGCTCCAGTTTTGTGTCCAGTATCACCCCTTGAAGCCACTTATTAAAATGGCATGGTTCATTGTTACTTGAGATTATTATATTCTGATTTTAATGTCAAAGTTTACATTTATGGTCCAATATTGCACAGCTATATAGTAAAATACTCGGTACTTTCAGAAACTGTTTGTAAAACAAATATTTCAAATATATCTGCAAGTGTATTTTCTAGATTTTGGCTAATTAACTAAAAGGTCAAACAAACAAGTGGAGTGTGTTGTGAAAACTTGCTGTCACTGAACAGCTTTTAGAGATATTTTACTCCTGAAAACAGAGAAAATGTAACAGGGAATGTTAACTGTTTTAAAATCATACATATTTAAAACCTTGTTGCACCTTCAGATCAGTAACTGCTCTCGTTTTTTTTCCCGGGACAGTGTAGAATCATGGTTTTTCACCAGCTCAACCCCAGCGTTGGGGCACTAGTTTGTCATTCTGCTGTTTTGCTTGAAGTATTACTATAATTTGCTATTTATTATTAAAGCTGCAAAGAGTCTGAGCTACAAATATTTTTTCTTTCCTTCATGCAAATCAAGAGAGGCAAAAGTGCGAAATAAAATCAAATAAAATGAATATCATGTAAATAAAATTTTACATGATATTCAGAATGCGTCATCGTTCGGTTTTATGTCAAATAATGATGATCAAGTTAAAATTCTTTCATTTTAAAAAGATGAACAGCAAGTTTTCTTCTGCATCTCCAGACACATGAATGTTTTCTGCTTCTTCAGGAGAAGTTTATTCGTTTCCAGGCCAACGAAGATATGTAATCCCTGAAGTTATCTCTTGGTCTGCCCCAAGGCACTCATTAGATCCTCAAAATACCTCAGCTGCTATGTTTCAGCATGAAGAAACTGCAGCTTTGCTTCCCGTCTTTCATCTCTCCATACAAGGGAACTTCAGTTCAGCGTCTTGTACGTTCTCTCACTTCGTCTGTCCACACATTTCTTACGGCTGTGCTGTCAACATGAGATTGTCATAAAATTCAAAAGCCTTACATTGGACCACACAGCTTCTCACAAAATCTGTGAGAGAAGGAAAATGGTGTTGCACTTATTTATTAAAGGATTATCTACATTTAAAATTCCATTTTCATCAAGTAGGAAAGATAAACGTGCCAAAGGGATTTTCCACAGAGCGGTAATCCATAGCCCATTCGTTACAAAGGGATTTATTAACATTATTGAAGTCTTTTGCTACGCATTCTAAAGCCAGACAAATGATCTCCAAATCACATGATATATGAATAAGAATCTGAAAATCATTGGGTTGCATAAACACTTGAATCAAGCACACAGGCAGAATTTCATTTTGTGTGTATTTGGGCCATCAGTATTAATAATTCAGATATAAACAAAGTGATTTATTAACTTTCAGCTGATTTAATTCTATAAAATTAAACTAGTTTTGCCCTACATACAGAAACATCCAGTGTTTTGCTAATTTTGCTGACTGTTAATGAAGACTTTTATTATTATAAACATTCCAGACCCTTAATTACCCGTGCTCTTTAAAATCTAAACTCTTTACCAAAACTTAATGCTTTCAATTCAGTAATTCCCCCTCTTTGCATTATTTCCACATTTTGTTCTTTAGGTGTTTTATTACTGCAACTTCAGCAATATAGTACAGTTGATTTTATACACTGTACAAAAATAAAGTTGTTCTGTCTCTGTTTGACATTGAATCTAACCAGACCTTATGGATTTTAGCTCCGTTATGATTACTAAATATTTTATTGCTAAAAAAAATAAAGCAGGATAATGAGATTAATGAGACAACCACGTGGATTTTTTGCATTTAAAGAAAAAAGGTAGAAGCATTCAAGCCTGAAAGCATTATAAATGGAAAATGACTCTAATATTATCACCAAATTAGCTAAAAATGTTGCTTGAAGACAGTAAAGTCGATCAGGAAACCCTGATTAGTCCCATTGAAAAACTGTGGGAATTGCTGAAAAAGCAAACCTGACTCAGTTTTACTGCTTTTGTCAAGAGGAATTAGCCAAATCTGCACCAAGTTTGTGGAAGGCAACATCAGTTTAAATGCAGATCTACCCAGTACGATAAACTTTCTTTTGAAACAGTTTGGGATTTAATGATTCAGTCCTCCTTCTGGTACATATTGCTGCCTTTAAATCTTTGAAAAAGTCACTTTTTTGCTGCACCCAAAAGCCAAAGCGACTGTAGTAGCATCAGCTGGCTCTCATACAAAACTGAGCTGGTAATCATAGTTTGAGGGCAAGCCTGACAGTTTTTGTTCGCCGTAGATGGATCGTGTGTTTGCTCAGAGCTGGCAGACGTGCACACGCGGACACATATTTTCAGAGTCCATCCCTCTCTCTCATCACTGCCATTCACGGCTCTTCAAAGCAAGGCTGTTTTTTTTTTTCTCACTCGCTCATCTCCTTCCTTCATCCATGCTCCTCCATCCGCCACTGCAATTCTCCCCGATTCACACTTGCTTTTCTGTCTCACCTTCCTTGTGATTAATGCCATCCATCTCTGGACATGTTCTCTGGTTGCCATTTAAGTCTGCTTAAAGTCCTGCAACTGTGACCTGACTGCTGCCCGAGTCTTAACTAAGTGTAACCTTGTCTGACGAACAAGACTTCTTTGTTACACAGCCGACTGCTCAGGGAGAAAAAGGAGGATTGGGAAGTTGAGGGAATTATCTAGATGGGGAAATGGGTTGAAATGAGATATGAAGAACTAAATGGTGATAAAGGAGGGGAAGAGGAGTGGGACAAGAAAGGCCAGAGGGAAGGAGTGAGCAGAGGGAGCAGAGACACGGGATAGAGCTGGAGGCGATGCGTGTCCTGATGTTGTGTTCTTTCCTGAAATAACCATCACCCAGATGAGGTGCTGGCTGGAAGGAAAGTTTATGTCTGTAGGCCTGTTTATGTGTGCATATGCATCTGCTGAGTGAAAATCCCCATCTGCATCTGATGGAGGGGTGCATCTGTGCAGCAGCGGCACTTCTGTATTTGGTTCCACCTCACTTTCCGTCAGGTTCAGTCTTGACCTTCTCCGAAGCAGCTTCCCGTGTGTGTTCACTGAGTCGCAGTGTTGCGCAGTGTCCTGAAACACCGCCACGCCACCAAACACCCACACCTTCGCCCACCGCCAATGAAGCACTGTAGCATGGTGCTGCAGATCTCATTAGCCAGCACTAAACGACTCTTCAGGCACTCTGATGTCTCGTTGGTTTGCCCCGCGGTGAGGTCAGTGATTTGCTTCAAGCACCAGGATATCCAGTGGATTGCTTTTCTCTCTTTCATAACACCCCGACTGAAACACCTTATCTCCGCTTTCGTGGTGATGTTGCACCTGGATGCTTTGGTCTTCAAAACGACGTACTGCGATGGCAATTGAAGGTCTAAGTGCCATGGATGATGGGAGATTTGCAAATGTGATATTTGAGATCGTTTAGATTTAATCGGTGTCATTTCCGACTTTAATTATCCAACATGATTAGGTGTTGCCGCTATCCTCACAGTCCTGGTATCTGTTTGGTGTGCTCCAAACATATTTTTGCCCTCTAGTAAAAACAGGCTTTGGGAATTGGTTTTATGGATATTTCCAACTGCTAAATATCTAAAGTATCACTGTTTAAATCAGTGGTTTTTCATTTGACTGTTTTAAAAAATGATAAGTAACTTAACTTTTATTGCATCTCTACTAAAATGTTCTACTTTTCTTAGTTTTGTTCCACATCTTGTTGAGGATATTTGAAAGTTTGAAAAATTTTATTGGCTTACCGTGTCATGCCATAATCAGGTTCAAAACTGCTATATATATTTTAAGAATTTATAGAGAAGAAACAACAAGAAATCAGTTCGTCCTTTAGGAAAACTCAACAGGACAATGTAGCTGCGTTTTAATATCTCATCCTGTTCATTATAAATGAGAAGCGACTGAATAAGATTGTGCAAATCCTTTTTGACATGAGTCCTGCTCATTAGATGCTACATAATTTAATATTTATTTATTTATTATGTGCTGTTTTAACCTCTGAATAAGACAGAGCCCTCATCGTTGCATTGTCTATTTTTTTCACTGCTAATGACAGCTGTGATTCTTAATGCCCCTCCAGACTCATGAATCACTCAGGCATGCCACGGTCTTCAACACCCCATTACTGCCTTCAGCAGAACACATAGTGTTTTTAATGCTCAACAACCTAAATGACATACGACCTTCCCTGTCATTAAACTAACCATTTGCAAGTGCCACTAGTCATTTGCCATTGCGAAAACATCATTTTCTCCACACTTCTCCCCAACAAGTGGTTATGTTTCACAGAAAATTCATTCCTCCTGAGGTCATTTCTTAGAATAAGGCTAGGTTCAACTGAGAGCTAAATCAGAAAGCAATTTTTAGATTGCCTTTCACTTTATTGAAATGACGAAAGGAGAACAGATGGGACGAAAGGGAGGAGGAGTTATTGAGGGGAGGACGTGCAGCGTTAGTCCCCAAGCATTTTCCAGCCTCCTCTTCATCTCTCTCACATCCCTCTTTTTTTTTTTTTGGCCTCCTCATCATACGAGTCCTACTACCTTCCTAACCGCCCCCCGCTCACATCAATCTTCATTCAGGTCTAATTGTTAGCTGTGAGCCGAGCTCCCCTTACAATTAACCATCCATCTGGGTGGCGGTGAAGAGACAGCCCCTGATCTATCTCACTGCACAGAGAGCAGCTACATGAGGATGCCACCAGTTGCTGAATGTAGCAAGAGGACAAAAAAAACCCACCAGAGGCTCAACGCTGGATGCCATAGTCTGTAGAGCAACAAAACGTTTCCCCCTCCTTGTTAATTGAAATATATTTTCTGTATTTACTGTAGGTCGCTTTTTTTCT